AAATAACACATTGTGATCTTCTAGGTATTGAGCTAACATCATCAGCCGAACAGGCCGATAAAATGGCCGATGTTTGGCCTATCGAAAACATATGGGGCTATATCAAACAAAAGCTGGACCTTTATGACATTAAGGATCTGGTCACTCTGAAAATGAAAATTATTGAAATCTAGAGAACAATCAGCTCCGACACTTGTTCCACACTGATTAGCTCACTACCTAGAAGATTACAATGTGTTATTGATAAACGAGGATACGTCATTAACAAGAAGGATTTCGAATGAACTCGATTGTGACATAGTCTATTGTGTGCTCAAGATCGTACAAGATCTTGTATGATTGTGCAAGAACTGACAAGATCTTGAAAGATTTCATAAGATCATATAAGAATTCATCAGATCTTACAAAATTATGTTTCTGGTTCTGTCCTATAGATCCCCTACAGATCCTCTTTAAAAAAAAGTTTTTTTCTTTTCATGATATTTTCGAGCATAGGAAGGACTCTGACGTCCTTAGAACGTGTCTAATCACGTTTCTTATAGCCATGTACTTTATTTGTGCTAGCTGAGCAGTTGGAGAAAGAAAAAAATTCTAAGTTTCGTCATAAGAACTATGTTTTATATATACTATATATCGTAGGAAAATTTATGTGGTAAGAATGAGTCATCACTTCTTGTAAGGTCTTGTAACAAGAAATCGTATGATCTTGTGATAAGAACTGACAAGATCTTATAAGATCATATAACTTCTTGTTACGAGATCTTAAGATTTCTCATAAGCTGATCTTGTAAGATCCTACAACAAGAAGTTACAAGATTCCGCAAGTTCATACATGATCTTGGGATGAGGTCTTACATGATCTTGGGATGAGGTCTTACAAGATCTTGCCAAAAGGTCTTGTAGCAAGATTGCATAAGAAATCATCAGATCTTATAAGATCTTGTAAGACATCTTCCACCTGAGTAAGTGACATTCTTTCTTGTAGTTATTCTTCAGGACAGTTATCAAGTTTATGTTTATTTTTTTCGATTGTTTTTGTTTTTGACTGTTCTTTTTAGTCGAGTTAAGCAATAATGAAGCAAAACGTCATGAACGAGAAGCATTAATTTCATTACCAAATGTATTATGTTTAATCATAAACGAAGTGAATAAAACGGGCCATTGTGCATCGATGGATGAAATTAAAACAAATTTAAAAGTTAACTATCCAGAATTTCCGTTGCCACAAGATAACATTTTATATACTACCATTGGAACATTGATGGAAGATAACAAGTTAATGTTGAAAAGTACGTAGTTAGAACACGACATTGATATTTTGTTGGTAGCACTCCAGAGTAGTCTTGCTTGAATATAAGTCTACGAATTTCAAAAAACTAAATTATTTTTATGTAAATTTTTCAGACGGTGGTTATACGACATTACCGTGCCAACAAGCAACACATGTAAAAGCACAAGTCATTAGAAAAGATCATTCGGGTACGAAAAATGGATTCTGTTATACATGTTTATTCAGAGCTATAAATATATTTCACATTGTAATATGGATTTTATTTCTTTATGTTTAGATGAACAAAAATCAATATTTTCTCGTCTGCTCAAATTCTTTCAATAGTAATTATTTATAGGCCAAATATTTTCGTTTTGTGTTTCATTCGTAAGTTTTTCAATAAATGCTTTTAACATTGTTTCTGGTAATACAAGTGTCATTAAAAGGACCCATTATTATTCGTAATAATAGAGCAAGATCATCATCATTTAATTCAAAAATATTACTCTTTAATTTCGTAGGAAACGATATTCGATATGTTTTTTGTCGACTAGAAGATGGTTTAATTGTTTGAGTACGCCATAAATTCATATCTTCCGATGATAATCGTGTTAATAATGCAATATCATCAAAACTTTAAAATGGACGATTTAAAATGAAGATTGTAGAATAAAGAAAACATAGACGATCATTTTATAAAAATAATAAAATTAAAAATACCTTTTGTTGAAAATTTCTCATATCAGTTGTTTCAATATTATAAAATTCTTTAAATCATAGATTTCTGTTGATTTTGAAAGTAAAACTTCCGAAATAGCTGTAGAATAACTTTTAAAACTTCGTTCTAGGCTTAAAAGAAGCAGTCGTTGATGGGTAACAATTTGAGAACAAAAATGATTGATTTAACAGCAGATATGAACATACTTACATGTTTATTCAAGAAAGTCGATGTTTTCCCTCTTTTAGAGTCATTATCAAGACAAAGTTGAAAAAATTAGCACAATATGAGACAGAGTGATGAATCATAAGCGAAATTTTAATTACAATAGAATGGTCTTTAATATGTAATATAAAATATATAGTTATATATATTTCAAAAATATATTTACAGCTCTAAATAAATACGTTAAACAAATTCCATTTCTCGTACCCGAATGTGATTTATGATCCTTTCTGACGAATTGTGTTTTTACATGTTTTGCTTGTTCGCACGGTAATATCATATAACAGCCGTATTTACACAAAAATAATTTAGCTTTTTGAAAATCTTCTTCTGTTTATTATATTCAAGCAAAACAAATCTAGAGTGCTAACAAGAAAATATCTTGAATTTATCATTTTTAAAGAAAGATACTTACAATAATGTCGTGTTCTAACTACGTACTTTTCAACATTAACTTCTTATCTTGTATCAATGTTCCAATAGTACTATATAAAATGTCATTTTGTGGCAACGGAAATTCTGGATAATTAAGCTTTAAATTTACTTTAATTTCATCCATCGATGCACAATGGTCCCTTTTATTTACATATATAAAATCGCCGGGGAGTTTCTAGAATCTAGAAACTACACGGCGAATTTCGATCAAGAAATTCGTCTGCGATTTTATATATGGACTTTTTGAAATTCGCCGGGGTTTTTCTATACATTATGAGAGAGCTTGAAAAATCGACTTTTTTTCCGCCAGACGGATCGAGCTGAAATTTTGGGAAATGAGTTATAAATATTAGTTACACATTTGGTGAAAGTTTCATCTTTACACATATAACG